TACATATATTATGTCAACAAAAACTTTTATTTTGGATACGATTAATCATTTGACAGCACTAATTATTATTATTCATTTTACCTGTTTTGCTTGGGCCTTTAATTGCTACTTGCTGCTATATTTTTATTTATTATTATTATTATTATATGAATTAACATTTTTTATTAAATTTTTAAGCATTTTTGAAGAAAATGCTTATATACATTGCGGTTTTCATTTTTTTGTTAAAAAATCTCTTATGCTGACCAAGGCTTCCTTTGATCAAAAAACAGTAAAAACAGTCATACTCTGAAATATAATTGCCATTTAAAATAATAATTCTGTTTGAATATATTTTCAAATTTAATTGATATGATGGCATAGTTGGATTTTCAGCAGTCATTACTCCAGTCTTCAGTGTCATGTGATCCTAGAAAAAAATTATTATAATATGCTGATTTTGTGCTCAAGAAACATTTCTTATTATTATTAATGTTGAAAACGTGTGCTGAATATTTCTGTGGAAAATGTGATACATTTTAAGGATTCTTTGATGAGCATTTATTTGGAATAGAAATATTTTTAACATAAATGTCTTGGTCACTTTTGACTAATTTAATGCATCTTTGCTGAATAAAATTGTTAATTTATTTAAAACTTAATCACCCTAAATAGTATATTCACAGTACTTAAATATTGACAATAATGATAATAACATTAATTATTGATGTTGACGCAATATCAACAATATTTAAAATATACTGTTAAACTTAGTTGAATATGAATACACTAAATATTCCACAGAATCTTGTGTCAGTGATTAGGGTTGTCTGGTGCTTCAAACAAGTGAGTAATGACACTCGTCCTTTTTTGGTTTTCTAGCTGTGAATTTGGGTAGAAAGAGGAAAGCTGAAGATGAGGAGCCTGCAAAGCCTACCAAACTCACATCTAAAGAGGTATGCACTATTCTCCCAGCTCAATCGTCTTGATTCCTCAGTCCAGACATCTCACATAAATTTGAGACCAAACTTATCTCTTTCTCTCTGTTGAACTACTTCACCTCAACAGAAAAGAAGACTGGCGCGTGCCCAGAAAGTGAAGAAAGTGGGGGTCCGCTATTATGAAACGCACAATGTCAAGAACAAGAATAAGAACAGAAAAATGCCCTTGGATGGCAAGAAAGCCAAACGAGCTAAGCGATAATACCTGGCCAGATACCCAGTCACATCAATCCGTTTCCAAAGCCATGTCGGTGGCTAGGTTGGAACATCTGGTGTGGAATCACGGTGATTTGTGAAAAAGTGAAGGTTCAGTTAATCTCTGATACAATCGTTCCAGTGCACTTTATTCATGCTGTGGCACCAGCCATCGTCCTGAACATTCTAACTACAGTCTGACAGCTAATTCATTTCAGTACTGTGTATTTTCAGCGCTTTTAACTTAAGACAATGTCCTGATTCTGCAGAGTTGAAATGTGAATTATGTACCTGTATATCTACATATGTTCTTTTTCTTTTGTTTGGAGAAAAAAAAATCAATAAATACTCAGAACAGATGCTTTAATACGGGTTTTATTCATTTAAATGGTATGAGAGTAAGTGTATTATTATTCAAATAATATTTAGGCCTTATTCCTCAGGGTAATTATGCCCTCCAGTTGTGCCTAAAAAATAAATGGTTGCATAAGAGTGAAAAATAGACTAATCAGAAATCATGATTATGATGATCTCTGCTTTACCTTGAGTTGCTGATTAGTTCGTTTGAGGAACTGAACCTCTTCAGCATGCTTCTTTTCCTCAATTTCCCGCCGTTCTGCTTCCCGTCTCTCGATGGCCTCACATTTAGCCTTCTGCTCGTTCAACAACCTCTCCAAACCTCGCTTCTCACTCTCCAACTCTAAAATCTACCAACAGTTTGTATCTCAGCAAGCAGCAAATGGTCATTTAATGTGTGCTTGTCAGGTCTTACGTTAAAGTTTTTTTGTTTTGTTTTGTTTTTTTTGTTTTTTTTTGTCCATACAAAGTCAGTGGAGACTAATGTTGCATTAGACATCACTGACTTTCATCATAAGTTCAAAATATCTTGTGTGTATGTAATAGTTTTTGTTTTCTGTTACAAGAGCAAGATAATCACATATAAACGTGTCTTAAGCCAACAAGTTGAACATGTTTTTTTTTATAGAAAATAATAGGTAAAATACAAGTTATTGTAAGTGTCACTGTATAGGTTTAGTTTTGTAGCTTGCTTTTTTTATTTATAAACAAACTTGTTCAGAAAATATATTATTTACGGTTACATTATTGTTATTGTATGTAATCTTTATATAATTTTTATTATATGTATATACATTACATTACATTTACATCTCATCTAGTCATTTAGCAGATGCTTTTATCCAAAGCAACTTTTTTGTATGTTATTGTAAAATAATTTTAGAATAGTAAGACAAAATGAGAATAATTGCTTTCAATAATAATAATTTGCTGCAAATGACCTTGTTCTCCATGTCAGCCATTCCATGCTCTGCTTGAAGTGCTTTCCTCATGCCAAAGGCCACGCTGCTCTCGTACAGTGTTTGATAGGCAGCGATGGTCATGCGAATCTCGTCTCTAACTTGCAGCAGCAGGAGGCCCCGCTCAGCACAGTTAATGGTGACTTGTCTGATTAACTCATCTGAGACATTTGAAAGAGAGAATGCCATGTGAATCTCAACAGCTATTAATATGACACTTCATTAGTAATATGTAAAACCAGTCTTAAGTCGCATGGGTATATTTGTAGCAAAAGCCAAAAAAACATTGTATGGGTCAAAATGATCGATTTTTCTTTTATGCCA